TAAATTTTTGATAGAATTTTTAAAATATTTATAGAAATTTAAAATAGGTCCCTTTCACGCTTCCCTATGTAAATAGTTTTTTTTCAAATTTTTCCAAGCACTTTCACGCCTGTTTACAATATTCGGAGGCCACCACGCGGCGGAGGCGACGGGAATTGCTATTCCCCCGGGGCTCAAAATCGCGGCTTCAAAATCAGCTCCCCGTGACAAAGCAAGGGCGCCCCTGCTCAGCGCTAATAATTTCACTACAACCCCCCGAATCGGGTCGCAATTACACTAGCCTCTCCCCTGACAAATACGATCCATTTTTGTCGGCTTGGGGCTCGCCAGGGCGCAAAGCGTGAACCCGGGCCGTAATCAGGGCACAGAGAAGCGGGTCCCGCGGGGATCCGGGGGTACTGTAGAGCCTAGAAAAAGTCCTTGCGGAGAGTTCCGCGCTGAAGCGCGTAAATTTGGAGACGAGATGGCGTCATCGGAATGATGTGGTGAAAATTTAGGGCAAGCGGGCAGAAATTCTTGAGGAAAGGGCAGGCTAGCAGAGATTCTTGAGGAAAGGGCAGGCTAGCAGAGATTCTTGAGGAAAGGGCAGGCTAACAGAGATTCTTTAGGAAAGGGCAGGCTAACAGAGATTCTTTAGGAAAGGGCAGGCTAGCAGAGATTCTTGAGGAAAGGGCAGGCTAGCAGAGATTCTTGAGGAAAGGGCAGGCTAGCAGAGATTCTTGAGGAAAGGGCAGGCTAGCAGAGATTCTTGAGGAAAGGGCAGGCTAGCAGAGATTCTTGAGGAAAGGGCAGGCTAACAGAGATTCTTTAGGAAAGGGCAGGCTAGCAGAGATTCTTGAGGAAAGGGCAGGCTAGCAGAGATTCTTGAGGAAAGGGCAGGCTAGCAGAGATTCTTGAGGAAAGGGAGGCTAGCAGAGATTCTTGAGGAAAGGGCAGGCTAGCAGAGATTCTTGAGGAAAGGGCAGGCTAACAGAGATTCTTTAGGAAAGGGCAGGCTAGCAGAGATTCTTGAGGAAAGGGCAGGCTAGCAGAGATTCTTGAGGAAAGGGCAGGCTAGCAGAGATTCTTGAGGAAAGGGGAGGCTAGCAGAGATTCTTGAGGAAAGGGCAGGCTAGCAGAGATTCTTGAGGAAAGGGCAGGCTAACAGAGATTCTTTAGGAAAGGGCAGGCTAGCAGAGATTCTTGAGGAAAGGGCAGGCTAGCAAAGATTCTTTCGCCTTCGGTTGGGGGCAAACTGGGAACCCATTCTTACCTGGTTGCTAGCCAATCGCATTACGAGAACGAGAGAGAGAGAGAGAGAGAGAGAGAGAGAGAGAGCGAGAGAGAGAAAAGCGAAAAATCAACGACATCATCTTGAAGCCGGGTTGACCAGCTGCGGTCCTGTGAATTACGATCCCGCACTTGATTATTTCGGCATTTCGGTTTACGCACCTCTAAGAATCTCTGCTAGCCTGCTCTCACTTTCAGCTTGAGAATTATTCGCTCTTTGACCCCCGGGGTGCACAGCACACAATATAAGGACAGGTGTTAATCTGCAGGGGTTCGTTAGCGGTTCCATTCCAGCTTGCTACTGTAGTGTAATCGAAAACAATTCTGCGAAACGATTTTCAGTATTTTTTTTCGGAGAATTCAGGTTTCAGCTGCTTACTTGAGCCACAGCAAGGGATATGGACTCATTGTTTTTCGGTAGCTTAGGGCTGATCGACTACAAAATAGCCAAGCCTGAGCCTAAGCCCAGCCTAAGTCCAAGCCTAAGCCTAAGTCTAAGCCTAAGCATGAGCCTAAGCCTAAGCCTTAGCCTGAGCTTAACCTAAGCCTAACCTAAGCCTAAGCCCAATTATTTATCACTTTTTCTCCTCCAATGATCTCTGCTAGCCTCGTGCTCATCCATTTTTAGCACCAGATCCCATTCTGCTCCATTAGCTCAAAAAGGATCGTCCCGGTTGCTCAGTGAATGGGCTAGCAGAATGGGATTAAGCAACGCTTTTGCATTTAAAGGTTCAGTCTCCACAATAGAGGAATGAGAAAGAGAGAGAGAGCGAGAGAGAGAGCGAGAGAGAGAGAGAGCGAGAGAGATGGAGAAAGAGCAGGAGCATCAGCTCGACTCGACTAATCCGCGGGAAATCCGACTCGAAAATGGCTACAAAAGATTCAATGAGGTCCGAAAAGAATGAAAAATCATAAAATTTAAGCTGTGTTGAAGTGGGCGCCAAGTAGTTCAGAGAGCCGAAACATCAGCTACGTTCCCAAGAATTCATAAAGTTCGCGGTGAGAACAATTCTTCAGAGTTGATCCCAATTAAAATTGTAGCTGCTGCTGGCAGGGAATTCCAATGAGATTTTTGATAGAATTTAAAGAGAGAGCGCGAGCGAAGGAATGAGAGAGGGAAGAGAGAGAGACAGAGAGAGAGAGAGAGAGGGGAGAATGAGAGAGAAAGAGGGAGAGAAAGCAAGAGGGAAGGATAGAGAAAGAGAGAGAGAATTTGAATGTCGGTATTTCGACCGTCGATACTTTAACGCCGGGAGATTTGATTCTGTCGGTATTGTACATCAAGCATTTTTGTTCGTCGGTGTTTTGCATGTCGGCATTTTCTTTCACTTCTTTCTTTTTCTTCTTTATCTTTTTGTCGATATTTTATTCTTCGTGATTTCCGATTTCAGCATTTAAAGTCGGTATTTTGGAATTTCCATCCAGAATTTTCCGAGTACCGAGTACACCTCCGGAAGGTGCAACCAAAAACCGGCCGGGCCCTCCAAAAATCCCGGTGATCTTTGTTCGAGTGCCCTGATTAAATCCTGAAACCCCCGGACTCGGCATATCCTGAAAATCCATTAATTAGCCCCAAAAACCCGGGCGCCAGCTGTCTGTTCGGCTGCGCCACCAAAAATCTGTTTGCGAAGTTTTGGTGATTATTTTTTCGAGGTGATCTTGTAAATTTAAAATTAACAGAGCCGATCATTGGTTTCAGGGTTCAGAACTACTGGGGCCAGTAATTGGTCAAAGCGAAACGGTGGGAAGGGCGACAAATATTTTCCCGGTGCGGTACAATTAGCCACCGCGCGGTGACGGCGTTTCGTTCGGGCTGTTACGCAAATTTATGAAATTACAAGATGACGGCGGAGACAAGCTAGCAGAGATTCTTTAGGAAAGGGAAGGTTAGCAGTGATTTTTTAGGAAGAAGCAGGCTAGCAGAGATTCTTTAGGAAAGGGCAGGCTAGCAGATATTCTTTAGGAAAGGGAAGGTTAGCAGTGATTCTTTAGGAAGAAGTAGGCTAGCAGAGATTTTTTAGGAAAGAGCAGGCTAGCAAAGATTCTTTAGGAAAGGGTAGGCTAGCAACGATTATTTAGGACAGAGTAGAAGGTTAGCAGCGATCCTTTAGGAACGACATGAGCCGTGCTCGTGTGGTCGGAAAAGTGACGGAATCCTGACTGTCGGGATTTCGCTTGTCGATATTCTGGCCGGAAGACAGCAGAGTTCATTAGAAAAACACAAGCCAACCGAGCACTCTGTAGAAGAGTTCGCTCCCAGATCCCTGACCACAAAGTTCTCCACCTCGTGCTCCTCGAATTTCAAAATTTCAGAATCCCCCCAAGATCCTTGTGTGCGTGTCTATTTCTGGGTTGCGATTCATCATATGACGAAGCCAGGAATAATTTTGACCTTTTTATTTGCCCACACACACATCAAAAAAGAAAATGTAGAACGGGGAGACACCAGACACACACGCATCTCGAATTACGGTAGCAAAAAAATGGGGGAGCGAGAGGAGGGAGAGAGAGATAGAGCGAGAGAAATGAAGAGACGCAGAGAAAAAGACGGTCAGCCGAAGGGGGGATATCACATTTCTCCAGTCCATATTTTGCCTCATAATCCCGGGGAGAAGCCGGGCGAAAAGCAGCGGGATGCGTTTTGACAAAATGCAACTGTCAAAGAACGTAAATGTCATTTTTGAGAGGGGAGAGAGAGAGATTTTCCGAAAGTTTACAGACAACAAAAACAACAAGGGCGAGAGATCACGGGCAATCACATATATTCGAATCGTTTTGCGCGACGAAAAGTTCGCTACCGTATACCGTCGACTACCGTACACCGCGCGGAGCGTTGCGTAGTTTATTTACAGGAAATTTCGGGGAGGCGAGAGAGCGTGAGAATCGGGGAGAGAGAAGGAGAAAAATTAGGGGCAATCGGCTATATCCTACTTGGGAAATCCTAATTAGCATCCGCGGGAAAACGCGAGGGGGCCAGGTTACCGTAGTCTAGTGGAAAGTACCGTATACAGGGGGCTGGGCGGCGCGCGAAATAAGAAACGGGGGTGAAAGCACAGGAAATTTGACTATTTTACGTTTTTGGGTCGGTTTTTAGGGACTAGATTTTTGGAAAAAAATTTCTTAATATTTTCTAATTAGCATAATTTTACATTGGTCAATTTTACGGCTTTTAACGCTAATTTGCATCCAAAAATCTTCCGAAGGTTGATTAATTTGCATAATCTTGCTTTCAAGGCCCTAAAAATCGACGCCAAATAACCAGGGCACCCATTCGACGTGGATATGCAAATTTCGGGGGCGGAAGGGCGGCGGGGAGGCAAATTTTCTAGTATGTATTTTTTGCTATTTACAGAGCACCCTAAAGCTTGTGGGGGGAGAATTCTACCGTATGCCAAGAGGATATGCAAATTAGGGGGGTTCGAGGAGGAGTGCGGGGGGTAAACGGCGCCTAAAGGGACAGGAAATAGGGGGGAGGGCGGGGGATTTCGTGGCGGGACCCGTGGGTGATTGGCAAGAGGCTCAGGGTTGGGTTTGGGTTTGGGTTTTAAAGGGGTGTTTTGGGTTTAGGCTTGGCTTGGGCTTGGGCTTACGACAAATTTTCTGTTTTTTTAAGCTAAAAATCGTTAGCCTTCAACCAAACCTTCCCGTTTAAAGGCCCATTGAAGTCAGGGAAGAGAGAGTACGAGAGTTAGAGAGAGTAGAGCGATACCAAGATTTTCAGTAGATGCTCAGCATGGCGCACAGTGCGTCTTCAGCACCTCCATCGTGCACATCTTGGCGCAGCACTCGTTGGCCAGGCCGCCGCGCTTCACCCGGTGGCTGTGTGCTGAAAAATTGGAATTAGATATGCAAATTAGGCGAGCGTTTTTTGATGTCATTTTTCAGGTTTTAAAGGGAGTGTTACACCTAGTATTTTGTTTTTTTTTAATTTTCTGTTGAAAATTTTCTGAACCCCTAGCACCTCAAAGAAAGCAGAATCCTAGAGCCCCTAAACCGTAGCATCGCGTAGTCCTGGCTCAAAAACTAAAAACGTCTATTCCAGCCCGGCCAGAGTATAATCACGCGATTCCGGTGTGCTCCTGTCCACACCCTCGTCGGACCGGGGTGTCAATTCCAGGAGCGGAAACGTCGCGACCCGGGGGAGGGAAACCGGAGACTTCCGCTAATAAGGCGTACGTTTCGGGGCGCCAAAAAAGATCCGAGAGACTACGTAGTGATACTCTTTACATTGTGTCAAAAATCGGGGCGTTCAGGACTACGGTAACCGGGCTTAGGTTTATACTTGGGCTAGAAGCTCGATTTAGAAAGTCAGCCATTCACAAAAGTTTTCCCTAGGCTAGTCGAGCAGGCAAAAAATGACAGGTTTGCATACATACCGCCAATTTTCCGGTTTCACCAATTACGGTGGCAACTGAGAAAAACAGTAATTTGAACATCGCCCCCTCTCTCCCTCTCTCTCTCTCTCTCTCTCGCTCTCTACTTACGAAGGTCCCCCCGGGAACGTGCCAATTTTCGAGCAGCCCGAACACCGAGATTTCAGCTTTTCATGAATTAGCCCAGGTTACGCTCCATTCCGTAAAAGGGCATCGGTTGCGTAGTGTCCGGAGTACAAAAACGGAATCCGAAATTGGAAGGCTACAGAACTTTGCTCAATACAAAAGTCGGAGTCGTGTCTTAAAGGGGCTAAAGTCACCCTCCCTTCAAAAGAGAGATGCATAGGACCTAAGCCTAACCTAAGCGTAGGCCTAAGCAACCTAAGCCTAAGCCCAAGTCCAAGCCCAAGCCTAAACCTAAGCCGAAGCCTAAACCTAAACCTAAGCCTAAGCCTAAGCCTAAGCCTAAGCCTAAGCCTAAGCCTAAGCCTAAGCCTAAGCCTAAGCCTAAGCCTAAGCCTAAGCCTAAGCCTGAGCCTAAACCCAAGCTTAGGCCTAAGCCCAAACACGATAAGTCTGAGTTACTCACCATGGTGGACTGATCGCTTTTTCCGGAAGTCGTATGAGCCCTCGTCGAGGCTGTTCGGCACCGGCTTTGTGCACCCATTGCATACCTGGAATTATTACAGGTTAATCCTATTATAAGCACATTAATAGTAGCCACAATTTTTGGCCGGGGCTTTTAAGCCGGCTTTTTAATATTTTGATCCGTGCTCAGACCAGATCCGTTCAGGTTTTAATCGCAGGGTTAAGACAAAATTGGCCAGCTACAAAATCGCACAATTCGAAAACCGAAAAATGCTCTCGGGAAATGACGGGACGCCCAAAAGCAATTTGACCCCCTCCAGAAGCGGAAAATTAGGAAAAGCCTGAGGGAAAATCCCGGTAAGCCGATTCGTGCCCGGAATCGGATTTTGGCGGCGGGTTTCTGCAGGTTTTTGGACCCTCAAAAATTGTGGTTTTTGGCAAGAATGTGTACAGTAGGTGAGACCTGCGGAAGTGAAGCCTAAGCCTAAGTCTAAGGAGGCCTAAGCCTTCAGTCTAAGCCAATGCCTAAACCTAAGCCGATGCTAAGCCTAAGCCTAAGCGGGACAATTTGCATGAAATTTCTTTAAAATTTCAGGAATAATTTTGTTCTGAATCTTAACGAATTTCCGATCTAAAATTTTTTCAAAATATGGCTAATAAACCTTAAAAACGCCAGAAAAGGCAAGCCACGCTCAAAAATTTTTCTCAAAAAACCCAGAATTTCCTGCCAAAATATGCAAATCCCCCACCTGGTTCATCGTGTCGACGAGCAGCTTTCCGCATAACCGGATCTTTCCGCTTCTGCGCATCCTGGAGAAGGGGAAGTGCTGCTGCTGAACTTCTTGCTGTTGCTGCTGCAGTTCCTCCGCCAACAAGCGGTCCAGCTCGTTTGAATAGGTATCAGAATCCGCGTCATACAGCGTGCCCTCGGCCATCGTGGCAAGGAGGTAAAAGCAGGTGAGGGCGAGGAGCATCAGGGACGGCATCGCTTTCAAGGAGTTCAGATGCGAGGGGCGCTTCACAGGGCAAGTGTGAGGTGAAGGCTTCTGGAATGTGTGTTGGGTGAAGGATGGAGGGGGAGGGCACGTCCTTAAGAGTTGGGCCCTGAGGGGCGGGGCCCAGGGGTTGGCCCTCTTGCCTTGGGGCCCAACCCCCTCCTCCTTCTCTCCCTCTTTCCTCCCCCTATAATACGCGCACATACAAACAACGAAAAAGGAACGGCTACAGGCGTATCATGGGACACCGGACTCTACGGCTTCTGCGCTGGGATTTGGAGTGAATGATACCCGGGGGGATGGCCCCGAAATAGCGTCCAGAGGAACGTTGCGTAGTTCTTGTGGGGGGCACGACGAATTTTGGATCTACGGTGGCTACCCGTTGGATTTTTGGAGCCGTTTCCGTCATGGTCTCAGCTAGCTTGCCTAGCTGAGCGCACGTGCATCAAGAAACATTGCTAGCCTGCCTAGGTGGGCGCGTGTTCCTCAAGACTTTTTGCTAGTTGGCCTAGTCGCGCCCACGTTCCTCAAGAATCTCTGCTAGCCTGCCTAGCCAGCATGCCAAATCCTTAGGAATCTCTGCTAGCTTGCCACGTACGTACCATGCCCAAAAGTCCTCCGAAAATCACTGAAAGCTACCACCCGCCAGAGCTTCGGTCAAATGATCTCTGCTGGCTTGCCGAATCCGTCCGACCAACAATTCCCCAAGAATCTCTGCTAGCCTGTCTTATTGCTTTTGAGCCAGCTTTGAACTCAAATGAACCAGCCCCGGAAGCGCTCTGTCTCCCCCTTGGGGCAAACAAGGTCCACTCACCGTGGAGGGCCAAGGTTACGGTGGCGCAGGTGTCTTTTAGGGCCTGGGTCCCAGTTGGTCTTGGTGTTGGTCATAGTCTCAAATCTCCAAAAACAGATTGCCTTTTTCTCCATATTCCCCAATATTCCCGCAAAAACAGATCTCCCCTTCCTTCCTGGAGTCGGTCTCGAAAAAGTGCCTTTTCCAGCCCGACTTTGGGTTTGAGAAAACTCGCGGTTTTCGTTATCTCTCTCTCTCTCTCTCTCTCTCTCTCTCTCTCTCTCCTCTCTTTCTCTCTTTCTCTCACTCTCTCTCTCTCTTTCTCTCTCTCTCACTCTCTCTCTATCTCTCTCGATCCCTCTCTAACACTCTCGCTCCCCTGAAAACCCACGTTTTTCACCTCGCCTAGCCATTCCCGAAATTTTTGCTAATCCCACGTGGGAGCCGCCGCGTTTTGACGCTCGATTTCAGCGGCGTAAACAAGTTGTAACGAGTAGCGTATCGTTCACACAGCTCCCGGGCTACAAAATATGAGAATCCCGACCGTTTACCGGGATCGAAATTTCTCGCTGTTTAGTGCCGCGTGGCGGAATTGAGTCAATGTTTGCGGCCACTACCGTAGTCTGGAAAGTTCAGGATTTCCGATTTTCGCACGGCAATTTTGTGGCTTGCGTAAGAGCCTAGAGCGGGAACAGAAACTTGCGAAAAAAATACAAATTCCTTAGGGACCTCTGCTAGCATGCCATAATGGCATAAATTTGGGATTTTTCGGACTCGGCAAACCGAGCGCGATTGGGAAAAACGGAAAGCCTGAGCCTAAGCCTAAGCCTATGTCTAAGCCTGAGCCTAGCCTAAGCCCCGGCCTAAGCCTAAGCGAAGCCTAAGCGAAGCCTAAGCCTACGCTTAAGCCTAAGCCTAAGCCTAAGCCTGGCCTAAGCCTAAGCGAAGCCTAAGCCTACGCCTACGCCTAAGCCTAAGCCTATGCCTAAGCCTATGCCCAAGCCTAAGCTAAACCTAAGCCTAAGCATAGGCCTAAGTATAAAACCAAGCCTAAGGCTAAGCCTAAGCCTAAGCCTGATCCTATGCCCAAGCATAAGCCTATGTCTAGCCTATGTTTCCCGAACTCAGGAAACGCTCCTGATCTCTGATCCCACCCCAAAAGTAGGACGACGTCAAGCTGTTCGGCGCCATTCTCGGGTACAGCGTCTTCTCGATTCTGGAAGCTGACCGAAGCGCACCCGACCATTATCTGACCAGGTTTAGCCGCCCTCTGGATTGCCGGTGTCCTCTGGCAGTCGTTTTTAGAAGCGATGCGTAGGCCATTCAGTATCGTCACTCGCCCTTATTTACCCCGTAATGTACTCTAATTGTCGTCTGGGCTTGAAAGCGTCAAATTGCTTGTGGATTTTGCCTTTAGGGTTCCTTGAAAACGTCAGAAAACTCCAGGATGCTGCAGAATTCCGTCCGGACATCTTCGGAATCATCGCGTAGGCGTCACACCTATATCATTAAGAATTTTAGCGTCAGCTCGGTTTTTGCTGTCTGTCTTTATCGCGCTCTCTCTCCCTCTCTCTCCCTCTCTCACTCTCTCACTCTCTCTCTACGTCATCACTTCTGAATAATTCCACGTCTAGACAATCTACGCTGCCGCCGCAACGTCGACACGAGGAAATTGGGCCTGCGACCCCGATGATGATCCTGGGAAACTAATTTTCCCCCAGCCTCCGAGCCACGTTTCAGAATTTGCCTCCCAAATTCCCCGACCCGCCCAACAACACACAGTTGACGTGCGAACCCGGGGGAGCAAATTTTTGGGTCCAGGTGGCTAGCCGGAAATCCCGACGAAGGGGACGTGGATTACCGGAATTTTCGATCGACGACCGTACGAGGAGCGAGAGAGAAAGAGAGAGTGAGATAGGGAGAGAGAGAAAGAGACATAAGAAGGATTAAAAGTTGTTATTTTGTTCGCCGGCGTACTGTAGAAGGCTCCCAATTTGCAAAATTTGTGAGACCTGATCAACCAACTTTGGTGCTAAAGTTTAAGGCGTGTCAAAGGCATAAATCATGCATGAACACGTTGCGGTCGCGTTGCGTACGATCCTCCCAGACGCGCCGCGCCCGCAAGGCAGCGTTCAGGTGTCGTGCGGGCGGGTCTTGGGGTCTGGCTGTTTCTCTTTTGCGTCTCGGTCGCGTCGCGGCCCGCGAAGTCAGGAAAGTGCAGCAACTTGGTCATTTAAAAATCGCATTTTCTAGAGCCCCTTGTTGTTGCAGGCAGCCGATCCACCGTACCCCAATTTCAACAGCCCAGCTAGGCGATCCCCAAAGGTGTATTTCGGCGCACAAAAATTCTAAAAATCTTCTAGAATTTTTCTCGTTTTCTAGGCTATTCTGGATTTTCTCGAAGTTCTAGAAAAATATGTTTATGCTAATTACCACCGGGCTAGAAAGCTCGGCTGTCTGTATGTCTCTCTCTCTCTCTATCTCTCTCGGTCTATCCTATCCTCCGACCAGAATAAGTTCTGTTTATCCCCCCCCCGCTGCTGTACCAAGACGCGTATTTTGGCTTCCGGACCGGACGCGCGAATCTTGGCCCCAGGCCAAGTCCTTTAGCCGAACGCAAATCGTGTCCGTGTGCTCGGACCCAAAATACAGCCCTCCGGACGTCTTGGAGACGCCCGACAACAAGTACCAAATCTCGCAGAGGCGGCGATTTTTGGCCCGGAAAGGTCTAGCAGAAGGTGTGACTCGATGTGTTCCCATATTGAGAATCCGAGTGATATTTTGGGTATATGGACTACGGGCACGGGCTAGTGACGCCCGGGATCTTGTGCAGAGGTAGCCGGATTGGACCGGCGCCAGTAGTGACACATCGTGGCAGAGAGACTGATTTGGGTCCTAGTTAGGCTTAGGCTTAGGCTTGGGCCTAGGCTTAGGATTGGACTTAGGCCTCGGCTTAGACTTGGGCTTAGGCTTAGGCTTAGGATTGGGCTTAGGCTTCGGCTTAGGCTTGGGCTTAGGCTTAGGCTTAGGCTTAGGCTTATGCTTAGGCTTGACTTAGGCTTCACCTAGGCTTAGGCTTAGGCATAGGCTGAGGCTTAGGCTTAGCCTTACGCTTAGGGTTACGATTAATCTTAGGCTTGGCCTAGGCCTAGGATTACCACAGATTTTTCGAAACCTATCCTACGATTTTTCGTTAAGCCACTGACGCCATATTTACAAAACAATTTTTTACAATTAATTTCCAGGCTCACTATCCCCTTAAAGTAAAAGATCACAAATCACCCGCTATAAAAAAAACGATAATGGCTGTCCGAAATGATCGAGTATTCACGTCTGCACGCGCTATTATTTCTAAAGTCCCCAGAAAAATCGAGCCGGGCAGAATTACGCCTTCCCTGGGGGACCAAAATCAGTGCAGTGACGCCCTAGCCCCCGAGGGCTATCTGTTTACGCCGTCATTTTGTTGTCGTGCGGAAACTCGGGGGGCGCAAAATCAGAATGCATAATTGACGCTTTTGAAACGGGTATCGGCGGGCAAATAAACAATTTAAGCAGATTATTTGAATCCTGGAAAAATGCTGCCTTTTTTGGTGTTATCGCGAGGATTTGGGAGTTGCGTTTTCGGGGGATACTGTCGCTGAAATATTGGTTCCACAAACGGCCCAAGCAAGTCTACGCTGATCCTTAGCCTAGACCAATGCCAAAGCCTAACCCTACGCCTAAGCTGAAGCTGAGCCGAAGCCCAAGCCCAAGCCTAAGCCTAAGCCTAAGCCTAAGCCTATGCCTAAGCCTAAGCCTAAGCCGGACTATAAGCTGCAAGCTTTGAAAGTTCATGACAACCACGAGCTTCCAGGTAAAACTACAAACTACAAATTCTAGGCTCGTGACCGGCCAATGAAACATCGTCGCTACAAACTACAGCTTTGTTTAGATGGATTTTCATGTTCCAAAAACTCGACTGTGTTCGACAAAAAGTCTGGAAGATGATTTCGCGGAAAACCCGTTTTGCCTGTCTATCCGGGAGGACATAAATTAGGGTAGAGAGAGAGAGAGAGAGAGAGAGAGAGAGAGAGTGAGAGAGAGAGAGAGAATGTAAAGTGCAACAATACCCAAGGCTGAACATCAGCAGAGGGAGATGAGGACATCCGATCGTCTGAGAGGACGGGGCTACATTTATTTTTCGTCTTTTCGAGGGGAT